GAAACAACTGGAGCACCTATCAGAAAGCGTAAATCTTCTACTTTACAACGCTTTCCTCCGATTTTCAAAGCATTGCCAATGAAGACAGCTACTGCCTTCCAAAGAGTGGGAACTCGCATGTAAATTTCAATTTCCTCGACAATTTCTCGACGTCTCCCACTCTCGAGAATAGGCGTGCTTAGAAAAACGCTCAGCACAATTTAGAAACTAGAAGTCTTGTGCATTCAAAAGCTGCCTTCACTTTCTGAAATGGTTATCAATGAAGAAAGTTATAGTCCTTTGAATAGGGGTACATTTGACGATTTTTCCAACTAGCGCGCTCTAGGCACAGCGCGCGACGCGATCGCGGGTAGTTAGCGCCGCTATACTGGAGCGCGAGACTGTTCAACTGTGTAGGGGCAGTACCTCCTTCAATGTTCTACTTTCCGGCCAATGTGGCAAAGGTTAAATGTCTTTAAAGGAAAGAAGGAGAACCTAATCTGAGCAGAATTGAATCTAGCATTTGGATCAAGCCGCATTTGCGTGGCAGTGGCGCTGCGTCCCTCTCGCACATCTGAAACTAGCATTTTTTGATATAAAACCGGATGTGCAGAGGACAAAAAGGGGTCGTATCAGAGTTCATGTTTTGGAGGGGGTCGTAAAGAGGCGGTTATTTCCTCGACACGATTTTCACCCTGCTCACTACCTCGTCCACATGCACTTTCCTAAGTAAGCGCCATCGGCGCCGACTAACGTGGAGGAGCAGACGAAACACAGTGCCGCCGCAGCCGGCGTTGTCCCGCCCCCCCCCTTAAATTAATTAGCCACGCAAAACTTGCACTTCGAACACTTTGGAGACCGCGCATGTTTTACGTTCCGCGGCCGCGCGGGACTTCGGTGAAATTTTTAGGGATCTTATCTAGCAAATTCAAAAGAAGAACCACTTTGTGTAATGCAGAAGAAATCTTATCGGATAAAATGGAAAAGAAAAGTGAATGAAAAAACTAATAATGTTTCGAAATGCGAAGCCTGAAGTCTCATGCGTCGGAGGGACCTGCGGCCCAACATAGGGGCTGCGTGGGCTTACAAGCAGTGTTAAAGTTTTTGCGGCTAATGGGTAAGAATGCTGCCTTGGTATGTGCGTGCCCGATTTGGGTTGCAAGCCGGCAACTCGCACTGGTGACTTTGACGCAAACGCGAACGTCGCTCAGGGGACCTTACCGCAAATCGCGATGTTGCACGTAGACCTGTTGCCGCGCAAACGCGGCGTGGCGCACGGTGACTTTCTGATACGTGTTCCCACAAAGCTAATTCTTGACCACCGCATTAGAATCACAGTTAACGTTCATGTCGCATCTATTTTGTTGGTCTTCCATACCCATTGGCCGAGGCTAGGGATGCAGTGATCTCCACAGGTGAGGCATGGTTCTCAACCGACCAACATCCAACCGACGACGCCGATTTTCTGGAAATCTCACTCGGGTTTTCGTTTTGATATGCGGAGAATTGCGAGACATATCACCGGCAGCAGTGAATTAAACTATAGCACAAGCTTAGCAATAGAGCTTTTCAGATGCTATACGAAGTTATACGCACTAATATTATGGTTAGGAAGTTTGGTATTTTTTTAGACGCGTGGCTGCTCGTGAAACTCAGTATCCACCAAACAACGCGGCATGTTCTAGTGCATCGCATTTTGGTACGAACACTATGCAACCGTTCTTCCCTATGACAAATATTGATGGCTGTCTAATTCAATTACACTGGGTCAAGAATTTTTGTCCTAAAGCGATGGTTTGTCAGCGGAACTGACTGAATTTGGCCAATAGAGAGCCAGCCGCACTGTGCTGGAGGTGGGGTGGGCGGGGAGTGTGGCGGAACAATGGCACTTTCTGGCCTTCTAGTTTAGGAGAACTATTCTTTATTCATTTCTCCATGGTTTAGAGTTTTGAACACTGGCTTTCTCGGTGTAACATGTAGCTAGTTTTATGAGCAAAACTGCAACATGTGCCACTTCCGCAAATGGAAAACGTGTGCGGCGAAAGCGCGTGAGGCATAGCGAGTGTCAGACGCTGACGCTAGAACGTTTTACACCGTGCACACACGTTGGTGGGCGGCCTTGTTGGTCCCCATGCTCTCTCGCTGTCAATGTTTTTGTCACAAACTCCTCCACAGCTTGAAAAAAAGACACTTCCAATGTTTTGGCAAATCATTTCTGCTTTTTTCGCCATTGTTAATCCACTTTGCACCTTCACCATCATTTTCGAGCAATATCTAATTAGTCTTGAAACTCGCCATGGAAGGTTTAAATGAATGTTCAGATAATCTCTACACATTCCAAGCCCGTCCAGTATGTTCGGGAGGAAATCCAGCAGGATGTGGATCACGGTGAGCTCCTTCTTCATGAAGAGTGGCGCGAAACAAACTTAAAGTTAAGTAGAAGCCAAAAGGCAGGGTTTTCAAGGCTGTAAAGACCAATTTGAATGTTCCAGTTCCTACCAAGAAAGCTCGGCCATTACCAGGCTCTTTGAGCCTCAAGCAATTTACAGAATAGTTGCTTGGAGGTATCATCATTTTCAGCGTATAAAAATATCCAGAAACTATGCGGAAGAGACTAGTTATTGGCTAGGATACCTGCCGACTGAAATTCCATAATACAAGTGGATTGTTGCGCAACATTGCCCTATCTCTCTCCAACCATGCATGTTGACTCAATGGATAAATCAGATGTTCACGAAGACTGGACATGGGCTCGACTCCGTTCAAGTAGAAATCCCGGGTGTCCCCCAAGAGGCCCATCGCGCGGCGAAGGAAGAGACGCAGACGCGGCAAAGGACGAGTCGCAGCGCATACTGTAGCGGTTAGGCGTCAGGTTAAATAGAGTGTACCATACTACGTCTCATATCGCACAGCACGCGCTGCGACTCGTCCTTTGCCGCATCTGCGTCTCTTCCTTCGCCGCGCGATGGGCCTCTTGGGGGACACCCAGAAATCTCCCACTATCACCCTTCCTAATCGACTCGCATTCGCAGAATAGAACAGTAGAAAGTAATCATACTCATATATAAACCAGAGTTTGTTTGTCTGACCGCTCCCCAAAAATTCGCAAGTGTCCCCCACATGTTTATAATTCTTCCTTCAAAAATCACCTAGGGAGGGCGGGTCAAGTTTGAAATGGGTAGAGTATGAGTCGCTCTTTAAGGGAAATATATTGGCCATGCTGAACTCCGCCTCCAGTGGGCGGGGCGTGCGTCGAAATTACAAAATTTGGTGAAAAAATTGCAGTTTTTGGCTTCAGAACAGTCTAAAGACAGGAAAAATAGGGCCTTAATAGGGCACTACACCGCTCTATAAGGGGAATATATTATCTTATGGGAAACTCCGCCCACAGTAGGCGGGGCATGCGTCCAAATGGACGAAGCCGGCAGAGAAAAATCGTTCAATTTGCTTCCAAAGCATCCCAAAGACCAGGAAAAATGAGGGATGGGTAGAGCATGAGTCACCCTCGGCCGATGTGTACCGACCAACGTAATAACTTCGTA